TACACACTGCTCCTTCTGCAGGAGAGAACTGTAAAGGAACTTTTAAATAAGTGCACGTATCGTATAATGTTTGTATCCCATGACAATAATATTTCATTAAGGCAAAAAATATTTGGACGGATCTATTACTGCATATGTGCTCTGATCCGTCACTCTTTCATATCTGCTCACATATATTAATGCCTCTCAGGACAATAATACGTGTAAATCTATGAGAGCTACACTCTCTGATGACATCAGTATTTAATAGAATATTATTCTATAACCATGAACGTCTTTTTCCATATGGCTTCTGTCCATTGATTCTTTAATTCTTCTCACAGATTTATTACTTTTATCAGCTGGATTTGAAATGATCGTAGTCATTAGATGATATGACAAATGAAATGATTCGACTGAAACAGCAGTTAAATAACCTTTAACATTAGAGTTGTAAGTCTGAGTGTTGAGAGAGCTTCAGGCTCACATTTCCATGGCTTATCTCACTGATATAATGAATGAATACGTGAGTGTTTGCTGTATCAGGCACATCTTCTCAGACACTATATTGCAGTATTATTGGACACTAGCAGATACCCGAAGAAAACACAATTAGAAAATCTGTTCCAGCAAGTGAAAATAATTACTGCATCCTCATTTTAAGGACTTTGTTATTTCTGATAGAACTTCCTGATTTCCCAGCAGGCCTCTACAGTTCGGTTTGTATTTACTATTAGGATATAATGAGTTTCAGCCTTTTTGAGCTTCATTCCTGCTTTGATTTCCCTGCTTGTGTTTCTAGGACTCACAGCCACTGCCGTTTGTTAGCATTTGCCTTTTGTCTGGTTGGTTCTGCAGCACCTGCTTGTTTGTGTGGAACTAGAAGCCCCAGAGGTGCTCAGCCCTGTTGTCCTCATCCACCTTTGTCTCCCATCAGCACTTGGGTGCTCCCAGTCCATATGTGACACAGATGTTCTTCTACACTATCCCAGCCACTTGGTGGTGCCTCTCAGTGTACGCTGTCCTAGCTTGCATTTTACATCCTGTTTATTTGTCCTGGATAGTCTCCAGGGCACCTTTGCATCTTTGGTCCTGGTGCCTTGGTAGACTCCTGCCTCTGTGGATCAGAAAATCTGTGCTGTCTTTTTACTTGAGGTTAGCCACTTCTTCTATTTTCCATCCATTTTGGAGCCTGGTCTTCCATGATAGTTCCTCCTGCAGTTCCTTATCACCATCTGTCTGCAGTGGACTGAGGCATTTTAGGAGCAGTAGATCTAAGTTAAGGTTAATGAGGGAGTCAGTTAATTAGGTTAACTCATAAAATTTTATGAGTTAAAAAGGGAGAGCTGTTAAAGAATAAATATATATTCTTAGTGCTTATTTTCTGATTATATTGTTTTATGTACTTTAATAATAAAGGCCTGTATAAAGCTTTGACTCATAAACCAAGTGTTCAGCCAGACTAATATACAGGAAGTGCAGAGGCAATATATTAAGAACAGGAAACCAGACAGAAAAAGCAGAACTACGTCACACACACACACACACACACACACACACACACACACACACACACACACACCAAGTCAGGTCAGGAGGAGTTGTGTAAAGGACCAAAATAACACCTATATGATACACATTTTGGCTTCTAATGCTAGAGATCTACAACTGGCATTTGAGCTGTGCAGGGGTCTCTCTCTTCCGGAAGATGATTGAATAAAAAGAAATATAAATGTTTTAACACACTATGAGTCGGTTTTCTCTGTTCTATCATGGGGACAAAAGAATCGGGGTTAATATTTGGTGTTTCCGCCCGGTTCTTCGTGTGACAGAAAGAACAAATGTGGCCGAAGGTTGGATCTGATATGAGGCGAACAGAAGACCGGTCTAAAGAGATTTAAAGGTAAGCACAAACCTGTTCAAAAAGCTAATTTGTGCAGATTGGCTGAATTTTAAATTATCTGTTCGCTGAGTGGATGAGCTTAACTATCAAATTGGCTCAGTAGTGGTAAAACTAAATTCTTGAGAATAAAGTGAAGCTTTGAAGTAAGGATAATGAAACTGTGAGAAAAAGACAGTACTGAGATAAAAGTAACATGAGATGTTATGTTAAGAGAGAAAAGAGACCAATGTGTGTTTAGGAAAACACAGGTTTTCAGTGGTTGTTGATCAATGGTCATGAGAATTTGCATAATTAAGATTAAGGAACTGACCTCACAGCCCATTGTTCCTTCAGTGGGCTGGTTTCAGTCATTATGCAAATGTACTGTTTATAAGATTGAAACCTGCAGTCAGCTGAGACTGAAGACGTCACCTGGATGATGATGAAATGTTTCTCCCACAAAACGCTACGTCCAGAATCAACTTTTGGAGATAAGTGCTTAAAGTTTTAAAAACATGTTGCGTGTTATCTTGTCCCTGTCACGGTCTGTGGGGCAGACCGAGTGGAGGTGGACGCAGGAGCAGACAGAAGTGAGGAGGCGGAACTTGAGTCGCAAACCAAAAGCGAGCCTTTATTGTGGCTGAAACATCAATACAACTCAAACGAAGACAAACATGGGTGAGAGCTAACTGAAAACCTACACTGGGAAAAACTGAGAAAAGTGAGCCAACAGAGACAATACAGAGGACCTATGATAACTATGAATGCATGAAAGGAGGAAACACAGACAACGCAACGCTGAACACAGGAAGACTGAGGACTTAAATACACACGAGGTGATCAGGAGAAGTGGCGACACATGAGAACACAGCTGACTCAAATGAAACATAATGACAACACAGGGGAGAGTAACACTGGACACAATAATATGAGACACGGACCTTCAAAGTAAAACAGGAAGCATAACCACCACAGACTAGACCCTGAACTAAACCTAAGAACAAACTATTAACCAGGAAAACACAGGATTTTTGCTTCAGCACCCCCAAAATGATTCAAAGCACCCCCAAAATGGGCTAAAATCACCCCTGGTGAAGACAAGAAAATATGGTTGAAATATACTGTCTCTTTATAGTCCCTGTCATGACTCTCTCAGCAGCATTTTTGATCCATTAATATTAAACAATTATTGATGCAGCGGATTGAGATGAAACTTGGCACAGAGGTACAGTAGGTATCCAGGAGGAGGATTGTGTTGAAAGTTGGACATCAACTATCAAGAATGATTTTTAATGAATTTTTGAAAATGCAACCAGACTTTCCCGATGGCTGTATTGGGCTGTCCCAAAGCGTTGTACGCGAGGGCGTGCATGTGTGAGTGCGCGCGCGCGTGTACTTGTGCGCGGGTCTATGCTTTTGATCGGGAAATAAGGAGAAAAGGCGCTGCCGTAAAGGGCGGTGTAGAAGCGCAAAAAAATTAATGCGGCTGAAAAGAGGCGGCTGGCTTGACTGCGGTCCTGCTTGAGAGGAGGCGTTTCCACAGGCATGCTTCCGGGAGCAAAGAAGTGAGTTTACAGGAGATAAACAGTCCTATCGTGTTACTATCGATCCGATACCAATACGAGCGTTGGCACTGGTACGATCGACGTTTGGATGACTCCGCCCACCACGAATACAAGGCTGCACTACTGCTGCATTCTGCACTCATCATCGCTCCAACATCGTCACACGCAGGTAAACCTCCACCACTGTATCAAACTTTCTGTCTGCAAAATTAAATTCACTCAAATTTCAGCCTGTGGTGTTTTTTTTTCCACCTTTCCTTAATCTGAACACATCGGTGCTACAGTTTTTGTTGGGTTTCTTTGTTTTGGTTTTTGAGTTTGTGAGCTGTGAATCTCTGCAGTCATACTTGACTCTACATGGACGACTTCCGCGATCGGTCAAAGAAAACACCTGCACACCTGTTACGGATCTAGATGCACCTGAAGGATGAATATGAAGCTTTTCACACAACAATGAGAGTGACGCTAACCATGGGGCTCTTATTACTGTAGCAAAATCTTGCGCGTTTGTAGTAATGTTTATAAATGTGTAGAGAAACACAAGTAATAAGCACTAACTGATTGTCCTTGGACTGACCCTGCACACATAGGATTTCCAACTGTTAAATTATTAAATAAGGGACACACTGGCATACCAGAAGCACAATGCACAACCAGCTCAGCATAGTGTAAATATGCACTGTGACATTGCAGGTAACGGTCAATATGTGACAATTGGTCACATATACGACGAACCAGTTTTGCTCATTTTACAGGATGTCCCGGTTAAAACGACGGGACAGTTGGAAACCCTAGTGTCATATCAAACATTGTTTCTTTTGAAATAACTTGAAACTATTTATTAATCAAGTGAAAATCTTCAGATTTCTGGTCAGCTCCCTGGGGGGGGGTCACAGTACGCATAAAGTACCTTTCCATCACATCAGGAGGCTCACCTGTATGGAGGGCCAGGAGTGGTGTATTAAATTAAATAGTTAATTAAATGTGTCAGTAATTAATTAAAATGTGAAAAAATAAATAATTAAATGTTTCAATAATTAATCATTATAAAATTAAATGTATATAATTAAATTCATTAAATAACATTGGAAATAAATAATTTAAATGTTTTAAATGACATGAATGAGCATTTAATTCATTAAATAAATTTAAATAATGAATTAATTCCAAATTTAATATGTTAATGAAACATAAAGGCGTATTTAATTAATTTTGTCACTCCTTGCAATCCATACACACTGGGGTAACCACATGTATCAGGTCAAACGCACAGATTCATGGTCCCATGCTCTCTGGTCTCCATTTAAATATAAAGTCTGAGTTAGGACTGAGTTTCTGCTCCACTGATCAGTTTCTGGAAGAAATCAAAGATTAGCTGTTTAAATTCAGAGTGTCATGTTTGATTTGTTTGATACTTTCTTTGCCTGCGAGTCTGAAAATGTGACAGAGCAGCTGGAAACAAAGACGAAGAAATTTTCAAGATTATATGGTGATGAAGGATTTATGATATCATCTGTATTCAGAGATGAGAGTGCAGTGATTCTAACTGCTTTTTCTTTTATTTAAGGGTCCACATGGAGGCTGTACTTGCTTCAGTTAAAAATGATCTGATGAACAATGACACTGCTGCAGCAGTAGAAAAGATTCAAAGATATTCAAAAGAACCAAATAATATTCCACTAAAAATCGCCATCACAGGAGAATCTAAATCTGGTAAATCCACCTTTGTTAGTGCCTTAAGAGGCATAAAGAGCATTGGTGATGAAGATGAGGGCGCTGCACCCACTGGTGTTGTGGAAACCACCTCAGAGGTCACACAGTACCCCCATCCAAAGTATCCCAATGTTACTTTGTGGGATCTTCCTGGGATCGGCACCACCAGGTTTAAAGCTACGAAGTACCTGAAGCTTGTTGGATTTGAGAAGTTTGACTTCTTCATCATCATCTCAGCTGATCGCTTCAGAGAAAATGATGTGAAACTCGCAAAGGAGATTCAGAAGATGAAGAAAAAGTTCTACTTTGTTCGTACAAAGATCGACAACAACATACGTGATGAGGAAAGAAAGAGAGACTTCAGTAAAGAGGGGACTCTTAGAAAAATCAGAGACGACTCTGTTCAAGGTGAGTTTCTTATCTAATCATTTTTACCAAAGTAATATCACTTTGTGAATTTACTATTTAAAAATATTCAGAACTTAGTTTGATTTTTTTTCCTCATGTTAACATGTATTTTCTGTAAAACAGGACTCAGATGTAGACATCAAGTCTTCACATGTTTTCCTGGTGTGCAGCTTTGAGCCTCACTATTATGAATTCTCTAAATTAGTGGGTCAGCGACCCTCTGAGGGACATTTCCAATAAAGCATAAAAATCTGGGACTCTCCATCAATTTGCCCTGAAAAGGCTTCTCAGATGAAACATCTTCAAGAAACCTAAAGAAGTCCATACCCTTTTCTTACCAAGCTCCTTAGAGTACCATGACCTGGATGACTGAGAGCCTTCACAGAACTCTGTCTTACCTTGTATTTGTTTAAATAATTTTTTTTTTCATTCTCTCTTCTTTATACCTCAGTGCAAACAAGTGTGAACATCATTCTTTGTTTATTAAGTTAGTAAAGTTAAACTCTGAGCCTTTTTTGTTTTTTTATCTTTTATAACACAGGTCTTCAGAAAGAAGGTTTTGAGTCTCCACAGGTCTTCCTGGTGTCCAGCTTTGAGCCTCACCTGTATGAATTCTCTAAATTACAACAGACCTTAGAGAGAGAACTTCCTGCACACAAGAGTGATGCTCTGCTGCGTGCCATGTCCAACATCAACCAGGAGATCATCAACAAGAAGAAAGAAGCTTTTCAGTCCACAATAAAATACTACTCTACTCTGTCTGCAGCTGGAGCAGCTGTTCCAGTTCCTGAGCTGTCTGTTAATGTTGATCTCAGCATGATGGCTTCAGTTGTCACAGATTATGTAACTGGGTTTGGTCTTGATAAGCAGTCTCTGGAGAAACTTGCTGCCAGCTCAGGTGTGTCATACAATGATTTGTGTGCTGTCATTAAGTCAGAACTGGCTAAAGAAAAAATAACCAAAGAGTTCTTCATGAAAATGTTTATCTCAGTTGCAGGTACAGCTGCATTAATGGCAGCAGAGAAAGTATCCAGAAGGATTTCCATAATTGTAACTGCAGCATCAATGGGCCTCTCTTTTACAACAACCTACTTGACTCTGAGTTATTTCCTCAACCAGCTTGCTGATGATGCTCAGAGGGTGTTTAACAGAGCTCTGGGTGTGAACATATCAGTGTGATACTATAAAGTAAAGTAGCTACTAGTTACATTTTAAGCTGCAGTGTGCAAACAAGCTTTGATATTTTTTTAAACAATTACAGAATCATTCACTGATTTCAATTTGACTGACTTCAGTGAACAGTAAGCATCTTTGTACAGCTGATCTGTGTATCAGATGCCTCAGCAAGACTCATTTCCTCTCATCAGAGCAGAAACAACATAGTAACTGTTTTCCCCTCATCACATTAATACAGAAACAAGTGTGATCTTATTTTTCATAAACTGTGTACCGTGGAGAAGAGCTACTGGATTGATGCTGTTATGCTTTTTAATTATTTGGTTAATTTTTAATGTCAACATTTTGTGCACATCAGATCAAATAATGAAACTGGTTTTGCTATATTATATCACCATGCCGTATCTTCCACCATAATAAATACTGAGTTATGCAGAATGTATGATGTCATGTGATAAGCAGAGGTGTGTGGAACAGAAACTGCTCTGTGGTGTTTGTGTTGACTGTATATTGTGTTCACTGCCCTCCAGTGGTCGCAGTGAGGAGCTACAACAATAATAATACAGTTATGAACTCTGTTTATCACCATCATTCTCTTATTATTAATAAAGTGCAGCATTAGCATTATTTATGACCCTTAAAAAACAGATTCCAATGTACTAAACAACACATTATAACACCGGGTGAGTTATTCTAGTCTCTGTATATGTGTAGTAGACAAAATATTAGAAACACTGGTGAGCACCTAAACACTGAGCTTCATCATGATTGGGTTAAAAGTAAAACACAAAAGTCCCCACACCAATTTCTTAATTTGTCAGAATGCATGTGGATAATACAAATCTATAACAACTGAAAACTAAACTGAATGACTTTAAGAGCTTGTTCAGAAATGATTTAAGTCATTTTTCACTGTTAGAAATTTGTCAACCTGCAGAGCCAGCACCCATATACAGGAACCAATGTGGGTGAGAGGACCAGCTCAAACTGCTGCAAGGCCATCCAGGTGTCTTTCCTGCCTCTGATATGGAAATGGTGGTCCTGAGAGCAGGTGCAGTTTATGTCTGCCACACCTGTTCCCTTCTAGATAATTTACCGGTTTAGCAGTTAATTACAGGGTTCATTTTAGTGGCCTGGACAGTCGGCCCCAAGAGGCTTATATTTTAAAATGCTGGAGTAACATCTAAGAGCTATTTACACTACAACTAATACTATTAAGTTAAAAACTGAATGTTCACAATTTAGACCTTAATAGCAGGATATTTTATTAAAGCAGTTTAGCAAACCAGAATAAAAAATAATAATAAAGCAAAATGATTATAATAACTTGAATTATACTTAACTAACCTACTCTGAGCTAATGCTGATTTTATTCACATCGTTGGAGAGAAAAGGCACACTATAGATCTGAAACTGTCAACAGTGAAACTCTTAGAGCCAGTCTTCAGTGTTTTTTTATTTTTTCATTTAACCAGGAAGATCCCATTGATATTGGAAACCTCTTTTTCAAGGGATATCTGGTCAAGATAGGCAGCAGCACGGTTACAAAAATTATACAATTAAACACAGGCAGCAACAGAACACATGCAAAATAAATAAAAAAATAAATAAATAAATAAAATGACAAACAATCTATGTAGCTGACGCTGAAATGTTTGTGTGGGTTGCAATGACAACACCAAAGTGAATCTGAGATCGTTATTGTTTTCTATTTGTTTTCTTTATTTGCTTCTCATGCTTGTGTACATTTGCAGTAAGAAGATAATCTATGAATCCAGTGATATATCCTTCTTATAAGAAATGTTTCTGTTAAAATATTATTGTGAAGTAGTCACTTCCTGTGAGTTGCGGGAACCGGAAGTTGTGCGCGGGAGAGACAAGACAGAACGGTAACACGGCGGACTTTTCGGAATGTACAACTTTTCTACTGCTGGTTTTACAAGGCGTACACGGTAAAATCATTATGCTGTTATTTGTTTAACACTTGTGCACTTTGTGAAAGGAAATAAGTGGCTGAGATGAATATCATATGTGCTATTGATATTATTTTACTTGTTTCTAGTTTTCACGGTGCTCCATGATTGTGAGAGGAATAAAAGAATTGTGGACATCAGTACGAAGCGTGGATTCTTTCGACCAGAGTAGAAACAGTGAAAACGTGTCCCAATCCATCTGGAGGCTTCGGTGTGCAAAGCTCTTCTCATCCTGCAGCAAGCTACAGGTCTCGGTTTGCAACGCGCTTCTCCTCCTGCAGCAAGCTACAGGTCTCGGTTGCTTCTCATCCTGCAGCGAGCTACAGGCTTCAGTGGACACGTTGCTTTGCATTTTGTGACAACCAATCGGGAGCTGCAGATTCAGCGGACACTCCAAGAAGCGGTTTCAGGCTAAAGCGTGAGTCCTCAGCAGGGGCGGAGCGTGGGGGTGGCTTACGGGGCTTAAGCCCGGGTTGTTTTGTCAGAAGCCCGGGGTCCTTTGGAGTGTAATTTTTTCATAGTTAGATGCCTGGCTGACAACAGTATAAAACAAAAAGTACACACAATATTCGAAGCACATAGTGCACACTGTGGGAATTTATGACTGTGCGTGAATCCCCCCTGATATTGGTATGATCCAAGCTCAGGCACTAAGCGACTGAGCCAGGGGGCGGGGCAGCTGCTGCCTGTGAGTGCACTGTTGGAGAAACGGAGCCAGCCATACTAAGGAGAGCTTAAGTTTGAGCAGGTACCAAAGCAAATCATTCGTACTGTACAAATAATGTAAATATGACGGTGCATCACGAAAGTTTGATATCAAACTGATCACTTGACCCATATTACGTTACTTGCTCTTCAAGTGAATCAACAAACGGCAAAGTGAAAAGCCGAACAGTCTTAGCTTACATGTGTGTTTATTTCATATTTTCAGTTCTTACCCTCCCCGACTAAATCAGTTATGTACTGAAATATAAGAATGGACATTAGAGGCTTCTTTCAAAGAAAAAACTCAGGTAAATGTTATTTTATATATTATGCTTTGTATGTTGTTCAGTATATAGAGGGGGAGGAGGTGGAGGTGGTCAACAAGTACAAGTACCTCGGGCTGTGGGTGGACAATAAACTGGACTGGTCATGCAACACAGAGCACCTGTATAAAAAAGCCCAAAGCCGACTGTACTTCCTCAGGAGGCTGAGGTCTTTTAACATCTGCAGGAAGCTCCTGAGGATGTTTTACCAGTCAGTGGTTGCTGGAGTACTTTTCTATGCTGTGGTGTGCTGGGGGAGCAGCACAGCAAAGAGGGACTCATCCAGGCTGGAGAAACTGATCAGGAAGGCTAGCTCTGTGGTCGGCATGAAGCTGGACACTCTGGTGACAGTGGCAGAGAAAAGGACACTAAAAAAACTGATGGACATTATGGACAATGCTGGGCATCCTCTGCACACGGCCATTAAAAACCAGAAGAGTCTGTTCAGTGACAGGTTGCTTCTCCCCAAGACAAGAACTAACAGACTTAAAAACTCCTTTGTCCCACACGCCATCAAACTGTTTAACTCCTCTCTGGAGGGGAGGGAGAGGGGAAACAGGAGGACAAAGGACGGGGAAACAACTAAGCTGTAGTGCCTCTTCACTTCACTGTGCAATACCTTTTGTGCAATACTTTTTGTTAATAGTCAACGGTGCAATAGACTCATTACTTGAAATGTGCAATTCACTTGTATTTTTATTTTTATTCCTATTTATTCTATTTATCCCCTTTGTATACTTTATTTATATTTGTTTCTGTATTTATATATATGTGTGTGTGTGTGTGTGTGTGTGTGTGTGTGTGTGTGTGTGTGTGTATATATATATATATATATATATAAAATATTCTGTAACTCTGTAACTTCTGTCGGTGCTGTGCTTTTGGAAACCAAATTTCCCAGAGGAACCCACCCGAGGGATTAATAAAGTTTTATCTAATCTAATCTAATCTATATTTCTATGCAAAACAAGGCTATGTCCACACGTACCCGGGTATTTTTGAAAACGCAGATTTTTCTATGCGTTTGCACCTTTCGTCCACACGTAAACGGCGTTTTTGGTCACTGAAAACGGAGATTTTTAAAAACTCCGGGCAGGGTGGATATTTTCTAAAACTCCATTTTTGCATTTACGTGTGGACGAGAAAAACGGAGAAAACGCAGAAAACGCAGCGTCAAAGATGTGCGCCTTTTTTGACGTCACACTGTGCGCCACGTTATTGTTTCGGTGAAATGAATTTCTACAATACTATTACTGTTAATTGTACTCTCTGCAGTGTTTAAATGCTTACATATACACACATAGTTACTGTCCCTCCACACATACGACTCGGTTCTGCTTCTATGCCCCAGCTTTGTTTACTTTTTCCCACCGAGGCTTCTAGACTTCTGATTGGCCAACATTTCTACACGGTTAGGAATATAGCGCCACCTGCTGCTCTGGCATGTTCCTAGCAGCGTTTTCCTTCGTTTCTCCCTTTATGTGTGGACGGGATTATTTTTTAAAACGAAAACGGAAAATATCAGTTTTCAAAAATACCCGTGTACGTGTGGACGTAGCCCAAGAGGGATTTCAGTACACAGCAGGATATTCACATTTGTAACCAGATATTTACATACACTTTAGGGAGAAAACATAAAACATTTTTACTGTAAAACATCAATTTAGAGTAAACTTTTGTTTTAGATAAATATTGAAATATATTTTGAATTAGTTAAATGTCACAATAAAGAGAGACAGAGCTTTCTGTTTTTTATCACTTTCATCAAATTTAGGAGTACATATACACTAAGTTTATTGTTAATTAATAAGAAACTCCAGACGATTCCATTCTGAGCTGAAGCAGCTTCTGATAGGTTTGTAGAGTCCATGTGAGTAAATTGGTGGCACAGCTGTGGATGCATATAAGGCAAAACACAGAGCCTGTTTCTTTGACATGGGAAAATCAAGAGATGTCAACCAAAACACCAGGAACAGAATTGTGGAGCTCCATAAGTGTGGCTCAATTTGGAATACAATTTGGTGCCATTTGCAATTAAGAAATACAGATAGTTTCTCTCTTTACTCTTAAAGTTAACAAATATGTTTTTTATATTTATCAATCTAAAAAAAAATAAACATTTAGTCTGATTTGATGTTACAATTAAAAAAGTATTTGTGTTTTTATCTGAAGAGTTTGTAAATATCTGTATATTTGATGATTGTCAGCACAAAGAGGGAGAGAGAGGAGAATGAGGACAGAACAGATGAACAAGAGCAGGTGAGACACACATTTTAGTCAAATGGTTGTTTGCCAAAAGTATCACCAAGGTCCTCATGTATCTCATACCTAGTGTTTCTTTTTAGGTTTGTTACTTTTCAAATTCTATATTTATTAAGTTCTGCAGGCTTGTTCGCACAACAAGGCTAAATAATTATATAAACTTTTCTCAATCTAAATAGTGTACTTTGGTAGAATTAAAAAATAAGTGTAGTGCAGGTCTATGATGATTTTTAGTGCTACTATCATCTAGTTCTGATTCTGGTTCTGTCTTGGTTAAGTCCCAAGTAGTCCTGATTTTGAACTGTTGGAGTCCTGTTTTAATTCCGGATCAGTTCTGGGTCTGGTTGAATTGGGGTTTAGTCCTCGTGTCTTGATACAGCCCTGATTTTGTTCTGCCTTGCTGCTTAATTAAAAAACTAGTTTAAGGTGTCCTGCACATGTGATATATATTTTTCCCTATATGAAGTCATTCTTTTTTGAACAAAACTCAAAACAGAGCCAATTAATCTTTCAGTCATTTCTACCCCGCCCAAAAAAAAATAAAAAAACAACCCACATGCATACTACCCTTTTGGGCTAAGCCCGGGTGTTTCAAATGTCTGGCTCCGCCTCTGCCTCTGACAGTGGACTCATCTCTGTGCTTGTCCTGCTAGACCTCAGTGCAGCGTTCGATACTGTCGACCATAATATCCTATTAGAGCGATTAGAACATGCTGTAGGTATTACAAGTACTGCACTGCAGTGGTTTGTATCATATCTGTCTAATAGACTCCAGTTTGTGC